ATGCTTGTGGAGTAGGTCTGGGGGAGCAGATTGGAATTTTGATTCGGACCTGCTAAATCTGAAATGAGTAATCATGAAGATGTCAAGTAGAGTATTAGAGGAGTCTAAATTCAGAAGTCAAATGGGAGACATAAGTTTGGGGCGTCAGCCCATAAATGCCATTTCAAAGTCTAAGATGAGGTAAGATTTCCAGGGGGGATGTGTGTGGAGAGTGGACCCAGAGCAGACTCCTGGAGCAGTGCAAGGTTAAGAGTTGGGGAGAAGAAGAGCAACTAGGGAGGTAGGAAGACATCAAGCCCAGGAAGCGAGGATTAGGAGAAGAGAGCAATCAATCACATCAAAGGCTGCCACAGTGGGACGAGGAGGCCTGAGTGGACTCCTGGATCTCGCAATGCAGAGGTCATGGCGACTCTGACAAGAGTAAATTTGGTGGAGGGTGGGAGCAAAGGCTCAGCTGACCCGTTGAAGGGAATGAGGGAAAAAGAACTACAGACCGCAAACATTGGCAAAGTCTTCCAAAGACCGTTGCAGAGAGATGAGGTGGAAGCTCACAGGGTGAGTTGGAGGACGAGCTGGTTGGGGTTATTAAGAAGGTAGAAACAGGGGCACCTGGGTGGCTCAGTCGTTAAGCGTCTGCCTTCGGCTCAGGTCATGGTCCCAGGGTCCTGGGATCGAGCCCCGCATCGGGCTCCCTGCTCTGTGGGAAGCCTGCTTCTCCCTCTCCCACTCCCCCTGCTTGTGTTCCCTCTTTCGCTATGTCTCTCTCTCTGTCAAATAAATAAATAAAATCTTAAAAAAAAAAAAAAAGAAGGTAGAAACAATAGCCTATTTGTGTGTGGCTGGGGAGGATCCAAGAGGACATCCTCTTTCCCTTACTACACAGATCCCAAGTGCGTCGTCGAGAGTCCTCAGACGAGGGCCTGACCCATTACTCAATACACATAGGGTAAGTAAGTGCACGGCCCTTGCTTGGCCCTGCTCAGTTGTACATGTGGCGACTAGTGAGCACCCTTCCTATACCTGCAGCTGAAAAGCAGGCTGCTGCTCACCCGCCCTACAGTAGTTTCTAGCATTTAATAGGCATTCGCCAAGTGTGACGAATCTGTGGGATTCGGGAACGGATCTGACCTTCCTGACTGGTTCTCTCACACATTCAATGACTGGATTAAACACTATCGTTTTCAGAATGCAGTTGCCACGGTGCTTCCCACCTCCATTCCTAACTACAGCACTTTACATCTCAGGGTACAGTCTGCCCCCAAAATCCTCCCCCTGCCACACCTTTTTGGAGGATTAGAAAGATGAAATTTAGTGTGTAGGTAGGTGGAGGCAGGTTGAAGACTATAACCACCACTCTGGTTGTTTCTAAAAGTAGCGCCAAGCAGCTGAGGGCTACATCAGGTTTTCTCACTGGAATGTCTAAGTTTAAGAGAATGTGTCCTTCTTCCTCTCTTTCAAGCAGACATGAGAGGTAAAGCCCGAGTATTCCATCACTGTTTTTTCCACAGGTGAGACTCAGTGATTTTACAGAGAATTTCCTCCTTGATTCCATCAATGGGCTGTACATTGGGCATAGCTTTTGGTGATAAGAGTACTTTATCTTTCTCTTATTCGCCGCCCCCCACCGCCCCGCCACCACCGTGTACTCTGTTGGGAAGCTGGGACAGGTTAAATCAGGGTATTAAGCCAGGTGTTACTTTAAGTGAGCTACGCTTTGAAGGGAAGGCAACAAGTAACAGATATTGAATAAGCCAAAGTGCTTAATTTTGTTTTCTATGAAATAATTTATTTTACTGTTTATTATGGAGGGGCTACAAGTACATAGCTGATAGGAACACAAGGTTCTAAACTTTGCAACACCGGTTAAGAATGGTTATGAAGAACGGAGGAGCTAAAGAACAGGGCACACAACATTTACATTTGCTTATCTCCACCATACATCTTAAAACAGCAAAGGCACTTTTCAAAATGGTTAAATAGAAGAGCGTGCAATTTCAACCAACATATACCCAAAGCATAAGTCAAGTGATTGAATTTTCTTATACTTTGACTTTTAACATTTTACTAAAATCTCTGATATGCAATTGACTTTGTAGCCTTGCAAATCAAATCATTATTTAAGACTTCCTCAAATGAGAAGAACCTGATGGAATACTATAAAATCAGAATTTTTCTATACCCAATTATTGTTAAAAGAGCACTACTATCTCCTGGTAAAGTCCAAAGGCCATATTATGTGATCATGTCCTCTCTGTGGTGAGGACTATGGAAGTGGACTCTTGTCTTTGTGGTTTCCTGGGCACACTGATCTAGAAACTGCCAGGTCCACAGCATTGTGCTGGGCGCTGTGGAGACACACAAATATGGTATTACCTGTGCTTTCACAAGCTTACACTTACCCACTCTAATTGCGTCGGTCATGCTTTCAATTCCTACTGACCTGTTCCAGGCAGTTTCTTTCGTTCCCCCTGCCCCCCAAGCAGTTTCTTATAATAAAACACGAGCCAGATTCAGAGTTTGTGTCCCCATCCCTTACTCTATTCGATTTTCAGAAAAAGTCAGAGGAAGACCAAATCAAACTTACAAAGACAGCCCGAGCCCCACATCCATCTGACGTATGGTTCTGTTTGTCTACAACATGGAAAAAGCAGTGGATAGATTGAGAAGCAGGGCATCTTTCAGCTCCTTAGCACTCAGTGCCTGCACAAATATAAGCACTACAATGCATTCTAAAACAAATGTATAAATGCTCTTGGACCGATTCATGCCCTTACTCCACACTCACAGAAAAATAAAATTGACTTCAATCGCATTTCCATTGTGAAAACACAAAATTAGACTAATGAAAGAACAGTTAGCTATCCTTGACTTGGTAATACTCTGACTCAATACAATTAAGGACCTCTTCTAATGGCATCCCTTCTCAACATGAAAAAACAACTTCTTGCACGTTTTCTAGAAATCAGTGTATAGACATACAGGTGTAGATAGAGTAACTGTGGGTGACAAAGCTGATGGGAGCAAGCATGTTGAAGACTGTACTGACGAGAAATTTCAATTTCTTTTTATTCTTGCTACACAGAATTGAACGATGTCAAATTTTGCTGTAGAAATGCTCAAGTCATCTTCTAGCGCAGAGCGATTGTATGGTCAGTGATCTGCAGGAGCACAAACACCATGTATTTCTCTATCTGACGTGTACTAATTATCCCTCCTCCATTTAGATAATGTTCCATTTTCAGTATTGAGCTTTCTTTGAATCAAAAAAACCCCCAAGTTCATAAAGTCGGAATGCAATTTTCAGTGAGCTTTGTCAGGATGGAGAAGCCAAAAGAACACTCAACTGGTGACGCTGGGTTATCATCAGAAGGAGTCAGTCAGTGATATAATCACAAAATTGCTACAGGGCAACAGGCTTCAGTAATTAAACATAAATCGTAAGGGTATGTTTCAGGCATTATAAAAATAGTGACCTCATTTCACTGGGTACCAACTAGTATTTACAAAGCTACTTGAATTTTTCTGTTGATCTTCATTGCTGTTAAATAATGATAGTTTTGATAGTGGTAAAACTTCATTTTTCAAGTGTAGGATGATCTGAGCTGAATGAGAAAAAGAATGATTAAGGGAAGGAAGGAAGGAAGGAAGGTAGGCCTGACATCAATTTGAACAACGTATTTTTCTTTTGTTTTTGATTGTAAGAAGGCTGGTGTCTCTAAAGATTACCATAGTAAAGTCATTAACATGCCAGCCATTTTAAGGGTCTCAGGATTAATGAAGACCAAGAAAGAAAAAAGGATAAACTGTGAATCAAGCCACCACCAGAACAGAGACATGCCAGCCACCAGTATTTCTGGCAGCCACATATATTTAAATACAAAGAGAATGACATATATATGACATTGTCATATAAATACTTCATTTTTTATGGTTAAAATTAAAAAATAATTTTATAATTTTATTTTTATATTTAAGAGTGGACTACTTTATTAAAAGAAACACTGGAAATGTGGATTCTTTTTGAGAAATAATCTTCATCTTCACTGCAATCATGGAGAAATCAGATTTCTCCCCCAACCAATAGAAAATTAACCACTGATGAATCTAGTGCCAATCCCAAATAAAAGACATACATATGTATGTTAGGACTGATTCTGCCCATCCCGTTAAAACATTTCCATTCCTGAACTGTATTAGCTACTCAGATTCTAAAAATGCTCATTTTCCTGGGCATCCTATTTTGTCAAAGGATTTAGTATTTATTATGTTATTTACATTAATTGACATTTACGAAGAGTAGAGAGACCAGTGACAATACCCCACAGTATGTAAGACCTTTATCTTTTTTGAAATGTTATCAGACTATAAAATTTAGCGTAACTTGCAGGTGTCTTGAGTTATCTCCTAATGTGCTTTCTCCCTTCATATTTCTTTCCATTTATTTTTTTATTTATTTATTTTTATTTATTTATTTATTTTTAAGATTTTATTTATTTATTTGAGAGAGAGAATGAGAGAGAGAGCACACGAGAGGGGGGAGGGTCAGAGGGAGAAGCAGACTCCCCGCTGAGCAGGGAGCCCGACGAGGGACTCGATCCCGGGACTCCAGGATCATGACCTGAGCCGAAGGCAGTCGCTTAACCAACTGAGCCACCCAGGCGCCCTATTTCTTTCCATTTAAACAGAACATTTTTGCCTCTTAGTACCAATCCTGTAGAATTAAAAACAAAACAAAACAGATTCTATGTTTCATACATTCTGAATTAAAATGACCAAAGAAATAAAACCTATACAGGATCATTTTTCTTTCCTATCTAAATACTGGTTCTTCTATTAACCATATTTCAAATTTAGTTTTATATGTATATACAGTCAACATATCCATGTGCACAAGTTTCTGCAGAACCTCCCATTTTATTATAAAGCTTCCTCCTCGAACACATTTGAGGACTATGTCTTTTCACTTTGACTTGTTTAGACAACACAAGGAGGTTGGCACATTTTAACGTTAACAATACATTTTATTACTGTAAAAACAGACTTAGATTAATGGTGACTCTAGCTATTTGGTTACTGACTGATGCAGGACTATCTCCTGACTTTCTATACTCATCACTGTTGGCTAAGTTGACACTTGATTGTACAACATGCATCTCTCGGGGGATAATCAGGGAATGCAAAAGTAGCAAATGCTAAGCAGATGATTTTGCTACTTTGAGCACTCCTGGCAGAGGGACTAGTTGGAAGTTAAAGAGGGAAGCTATCAATGAAATCAGAGAATAAGTTACTTGTGGATTTCATTTACTCACATTAGGTCTGGCCCCTCCTTATTGGAGGCTAACTGGAAACAGAATGGACCATGCTGTTCATTTTCAAACACTTCAATGATGTTCTCCAATAATTTTATTATCTCCAGTTTTATGGTACCATACTATGCCTTTTGTATTGTTTAAATTTTCCATTGACATAATCTATATGCCAAAAAATTACTACACATTCCCTTTTACAGTCAAAAATAGGTTTACTGGAATGTTTTAGTTATAGCTGAAGGCAGCAAAATTTACAACATTTAGCTTTTGTATCACCCATAAACATGTGGAAATTGCTTGCAAAGCAATTGTAATGTGAGAAGAATCTTGCAAATATTGATGGAATGGCTATGCATGTTTTTAGCATAATGTTTTGGTACTCTACATAGGCTTCTGGACTCCCAGTTTGACCCCCATGTCGATGCAATAATGCAAGTCCTTATAATAACAGTATGAAATATTGTGATCACTGTTTAATTACATGTACAAACAATGAACTGGCAAGTATCTAGTTTCAAATTAGATCCTTGGAATATGGCAAAATAGAGGCTGGTTATCTTTGCCTTAAACATAATTTTTAAAAACACATTTTGTTAGAAGGGAAGAAGATAACTGGACATTCTCAATGCTCCAATTTGAAGTGATATTTGCCTCTTAGTTTCTTGAAAAAGAAGTTTTGAAAGTTATATACATAAGTTTCATTTAAATTATGCAGCAATCTTTTATTATTGTTGTCCCAGATTTTGTGTAATGAAGATCTCTGTCACCAAATCAAGCACGGTATTTCAAGACTGTAAGAACTGCAAGAGAAAAATGAAAAATGGAACGTATCAAAATCAGATTCAGATGGTATGTTAAAAACAATATTCCTAGGGCGCCTGGGTGGCTCAGTTGGTTAAGGGACTGCCTTCGGCTCAGGTCATGATCCTGGAGTTCCAGGATCGAGTCCCGCATCGGGCTACCTGCTCAGCAGGGAGTCTGCTTCTCCCTCTCCCGCTCGCCCCTCTTGTGCTCTTTCTCTCTCTCACTCT